CCTGACAGACGTCACTTACCCTGCAAGGTGCTGTCAGCAGGGGAGAGGCCCTGGGAGAGGATGGGAGCAGGAAGAAGGGAGAAGCTCTCGTCTGACGGGGGCAGCTGCTGACAGGTGTAATGGCAGCGAGTTAGCCTAGTACTTCGCAGACCCTTGGCATACCGAGGCAGGGCAGCACCTTGTCTAGACTCCAGGATCCAGTAGTCAGGGTGGCACATGAACAGATCCGGGATCCAGGGAGGTGGTGATATGCTAGCTGGACTCCAGGGTCCTGGACAAAGGCTGACATTTACTGTCTTTGAGGGGGGCTGGACACCGGTATGGGTCAGACAAGACCTGGGAGTGACCTATTTTAGGTCTAGAGTCTTAGCTGTATCTGCACAGTCTTCTTTGGGCAGTGCACTGTTCCGTTTTCTGGATTAGGGCAGGAGCATCATGAGGGGAAATGTTAGTCCACAACTAAGACTCTAGACTGAAAATAGCCAGTGTACTCCAGATTTTCTGGTGAGCAGAGGGTGAAGGAAGATGAGCCCTAAAATAATGCTGCCGGGGCCTCTTCACAAAACCTAAACAAAGACTCCAAAGTGCCAAGCTGGTTTTGAATTTCCTAACAGAGCTCAAGAATATTTATAGAAATACAAAAATACTTAGTAATCAAGGAAAAACTCATAACATCTGGCAATCAATTAAAAGATGACCAGTCATGCAAAGAAACAGGAACCTATATTCAGATTGAGGGGAAAATCAATCCATAGGAACTGGCCCCGAGCTTACTCAGATCGTCAGTTCAGTAGACATGAAAACAGCCACTGGGAATCAGGAAGCCAGAGGGTGCATGCTGAGGAGAGACGGAGCAGAGGTGGAAGAACTCAAACTGAGGGACGAAACCTACAATGGTTTAGTTGAGAAATGCACAGAGTGGAATTAAGAGCAGATTAGACACAAGAGAGGGGGGGGAAAAAGCAGTAAACAGGAAAAGAAGCTACATAATAAGACAGAGCACAGGGTCTAAGAAATACAAGAAATGAGCAGATGAGCTGGGATTAGCTTCCAGACACTGGGTGCTGGTGGCTCACGCCTGTAATCCTAGCTACTCAGGAGGCTGAGACCTGAGGATCGAGGTTCAAAGCCAGCTTGGGCACGAAAGTCTGTGAGACTCTTATCTCCAATTAACCACTCAGAAAACCAGAAGTGGTGCTGCGGCTCAAGTGGTAGAGCACTCGCCTTGACTGAAGAGCTCAGGGACAGCGCCCAGGCCCAGCGTTCAAGCCTCACAACTGACAAAATAAAATAGCTTCCAGAGTCTTCCATGCGCACCACCAAATCTACCCAGCAGAAAGCAGAGATGTGAAGCAAAAGTATCTGAAGGAGACATGACTGAACAATTGCAGAATTTAATAAAAATCATTTAAAAACCTCACAAATCTGGGGCTGGGAAGGTGGCTCAGTGGTAGAGCGCTTGCCTTGCATGCATGAGGCCCTGGGTTTGATTCCTCAGCACCACATAAACAAAAAGAAAAAAGCCAGAAGTGGCGCTGTGGCTCAAGTGGTAGAGCGCTAGCCTTGAGCTGAAGAGCTGAGGGACAGAGCCCAGGTCCAGAGTTCAGGCCCCACGACCGGACCCAAACACACACACACACACACACACACACACACACACACACACACACACAAAGTCATTAAATAAAGTGGGACAATTTTTTAAAAGGAAGAAGAAGGAATAACATCTTTAAGCCTTGATAGAGAAAAAAGCAATCTAGAAATCCATATTCTATATCCAGGTTTTGGAGCGTGGCTCAAGTGGTAGAATACCTGCTGAGCATGCAAGAGATGCTGAGGCCACACACCAGCACCACCAGAGGAAGGACACCACTGTGTCCGCTGCATGTAGATGCCGCTGCCCATGTGCCCAGTGTCTCGTGTGAGCATTGACCTCCACTGTGAGCAATATGGGAATTGATGCCAGTGGAAACTGACCAGGCTGCGCAGAGGCCTTGGGCTTCGGTGTGGTTGTTGGGATGGAGACAAAGGGAGGAGAGCAGAGGGAATGCGCTCCATCCCTCCTTGGCACTTGCCCCATGGTGGCTGAATGGGGAAATCAGGGAATGGGGGGATACTTTAGCTCTCTGCTCCTCCTTAGTCTTCATAATCTAACGAGACCAGGTCCTCCCCTGTTGCCCAGGCCTCCAGGCCCCAGAGAGGCTGTGTGCTGACTCAGTGGAGGTCTCACAGCACACGGCCGGGCCTTCCAGGCTCGAGGACACAGGGCTCCAGAGGCTAAAGCCAACACCACATCCACCGGGGATGACCGTACGCTGCCCCTGCCCTTCCTTTGGAGGAAAAACCCTTCTTGTTGTTGTTGCTGCTGCTGCTGCTGCAGCCGCCGCATCGTGGGCCAGGCTGCAGAGCCACCCTGAGCCGTGGGTTCCATCAAAGTACTATCCCAGACCAAGTTGAGTCTCCCCTCCCCCTCCCCCTTCCTCCCTCCCTCCAGAAAGGCACTGTGGTGTGGCTGGAAGAGGCCTAGTCCTCAGCAGAGTTGGGAGCCAGCACCACCCAGGCATTCACAGCCCTGGTGACAGGCGCCTCTCTGCCGGTTCTTGGCAGACTGTCTTGGCCCTCCACAGAATGGGGCTTTGTGTCCAGGAAGAATCCGGTGCACTGGATAGGGCTGGCACCACACCCCCGGCACACCTGTCTGGGGGTCCTGTGAAGCCGGCCTTCAGCTGGAGGCGCTGCCAGCAGGCTGAGAATTTCAAATATGGGATACAGGTTCTGAGGCTCCCTGGGGGGGGGGGCAGACCCCAGGGATTCCACCCGGGGACCTGAGGACTCACCACCATGCGCTCTGCGGGTCTGACTGCAGGGTGGGGAGGACACTGGGCCTGGGGAAGCCATGCGGGGCAGCGGGACCTCTGCATCTGGCTGGAGGAGGCAAAATGCCCTTCATGGTGGCCGGAAGCTGCCCTGTCCCATGCTTTGCTGGGTCAGTTTTCACCTGTGACAAACTACCCCAGAGAATGGGCTGAAAGGAGGGCTTATTTTGTCTCCTGTTAGCTGTTGAAAGTTGTTCCTGCCTCTCCCTCACTCCAAGTTCTGTGGGCTCAGCAGGGACATGCCCTTGTACAATTCCTGACCTGGCCCATCACCGCTTTCCCACTTTTTATTGCTTGGTGTCATTAAAAAGCATTAAATTCAGCCAGGCACCGGTGGCTCACGCCTGTCATCCTAGCTACTCAGGAGGCTGAGATCTGAGGATTGTGGTTCAAAGCCAGACCAGGCAGAAAAGTCCCATGACACTCCTATCTCCAATAAACTACTCAGAAAAGCCAGAAGTGGTGCTGTGGCTCAGGTGATAGAGCCCCTTGAGCACAAAGAGGTTCAAGGACAGCACCCAGGTCCTGAGTTCAAGCCCCAGGACCAGCAAATACACACACACACACACACACACACACACACACACACACACACACACACACACACACTGATCAATTTTGTTGGTCTTTTCCCAGAACCAACTTTTCCTTGCCTTAATTTTTTTTTCTATTTCTGTTTTTTTCTATTTCTGTTTCTTAGTTAGTAGATTTCTGTTCTGATTTTTCTTTTCCTTCTGTCTTCTTGGGTCTAATCTTTCCCCCTTTCTTGTTAAGATAGACACTAACAACCAATTTGAGAATTTTCTGCTTTTTTAAAGATCCTACATTAACTTTTTTTAAAACTTAATTTTGATGTGTTAGATTTTTATTCTGTTAAGCTTAAAGTATCTATAATTTCCACTGCCATTTTCTTCCTCTTCAAACTTTTCAGAAGTGTAGGCTTTTTAGAAATGTATTAATTCCTGAAAAATGGAGGATTTCTAAATTTTCCTGCTTTACCTTCTTCTATTTTATTTCCTTTGTGGCAGGAGAACATATTCTGAATGACTTAAATTATTTAAAACCTGGCCCAACACATGGTCTAACCTGGGAAATGTTCCTTGTACTTTGGAAATAAACACCTCTCATTATTTCTGGGATGAGTTCTATAAACGAATTGGTGGTGGGGCTGTTCAAGGACTTCTGCCTTGGTAATGTATAAGGAAACACTTTGTTCTCTGATGGTTGGCCTGTGTGTCTTCCTGCAGTTACATCCATGTGGGAATCGCAAGGTCTGCCCTCGATTGAGTCAGGGTTTGGAGGGAGTTCTGCTGGTGATGTACTCTTCCTCCTCTCCCCCTCCCCCTCCCTCTCTGCGTCCCACCACCCATGTTCTGCCTCCTCTGCCACAAGCTTATCCCTAAAGCAGTGGACCTGGCGTGTCTGAGTCCGTGTCTTACTCTAGCCCAGCTTCTCCGTTCTCGGAAGGGATGGATGCAGCAGGTCTGAGCAGAGCCTGGACTCCGAGGAGGAGTCACACAGTCTTTGGCCCTTTCTGACCCAAACTTTGGACACAAAGATGGTTGAGAGTGGTCAGACTTTGTCTGCATCATCAGCTCCAGACAATGGAATCGAGATTTCCATGTTGGTCCTCTCTTCTCAGAGCTGTGACCTCTCAGCTTTTAGCTCTCACACAGGTACCTACACATACACAATCATGCAGTCACACAGTGACAGAAGCCTTGAGTTTTATGGAGGACCATGCACTATGGTGACTGAGCCACACTGGCATCAGGATTCTGGCAGATGGAACTTGAATTACTGCTGGGAGGAGAGGGGGGAGGCCGGGTTACAGGTGAAGGCCAGGAAGGAGGAGGCCAGGAAGGCAAGTCCCAGTGGGCGCTGGGTGAGGCACAGATGATACCACTGGTTCTGCTAAGGCAGTGTTTGTGTTTTTGTGTGTTTCCTTTTTTTTTCCTTTTTCTTTAAAGAAGTAGCACCAAAATCAAAAGATGCAGCAAACTGATTCTTCCAGGTCAAGCGAGGGAGGGGAGGAGAGGCTGCAGGAGGAGAGGCTGCAGGAGGAGAGGCTTTAGGTCTGCCCTGGAGGTCCCGAGGCTCCACGGGACAGGCTGCATCCCCGCCTCAAACGTTCATGGTCAAGTTGATGAACTGGAAAGGGAGAAAGGGACAGGGCGCTGAGGCTGCATCCTGCCAGCCCCGGTAGTGGCTGCAGCTTGCTTGCGTCCTGGGAGCTTTCCCACCACATCATCATGTCAGCAAATTTGCCTCGCCCTGAAGCCCAACATAAATCCCTAGCCTACCACACGGCAAGTTCTTCAGGCCCAAGCCTTTGTGAGGGAGTTCCCGTCCCACCCTGGCGTCCATCCGCAGAGGAACAGTGCTATGCTCCCGCAGGCCTTGAGGCCTGGAACCTGGACCGTCGTGCATTGCTGGGGGGAGGTGGGGAGGAGGAACGTGGTGCTCCCTAGCTGGCTGGCAGGCAGGCAGGAGCCCAAGTCCCAAAAGGGAAAGATGGAAAGGGAGCAGGTTTTCTGTGCTCACTTTGATGCCATGGATCACTCTCTGACTCACTTTCCACCAGTGTAAAATGGAGTTGCTACTGTCCCTCAGCTTGTGGCTGTGATGAAGATGGCTTTAATGATGAAACCCACAGCAGAGAGGACAAGTTCTTGGGGCATCGGTCCCTCAGAGAGGCCTGGTGTCCTACCTCATTTATGTGGAGCTGAATAAAGTCCTTTTCCTTCATACAGAGAGCCTGGAACACCCCTGGTGGGAGAGATGAGGAAGGCATTGGCCCCGGGAGCCAGTAGGGGTCTGAGTGCCTCTGGTCTGGGAGCCTTTGGATGGCTGAGACTCTAGTGGACTCCGTGGAGCCCTGGGAAACAGCGTGTGTGCGTGCAATTCTGCAGGCACCAAAGCTGTTCAGTCTCTTGCAAGTCTCCGTGCAAGGGCTGTGTGGGCTGGCACGGGGTGGGGGCCAAGTGTAGGGGGCAGAGCAGAGAAGAGGAGAGCCGACTGCCAAGCACAAGGCGGGCGCTGTGCAGACCCTGTATCCTCAAGTAAGAGCAAGACACAGCTGGCTGAGTTTTGTTAGAGAAGCCGACTGCGGGCTGTTGTGCTCAAGCAACTACTGGCTGGAGACATTGCACCCAAAGGACACAGTGTCTCAGATGTGGTGACAATTCATGGGGAAGAAGTGAGTGTTTAGAGGAGCACAGAGGAAGAAACACAGGTGTAGGGGGCAGAGAGCGCCGGGGCCTCGGGGTCCAGACACCCAAGGGTTTGCTGTGCAGCCTCATCATGCTAGCATGTGCTCTCTCCCTCCCTCCCTCTCTCTCCCTCTCTCTCTCTCCCTCCCTCCCTCCCTTTTTCCCTCTCTCCCTCTCTCCCTCCCTCTCTCCCTCTCTCCCTTCCTCTCTCTCTGCCTCTCTCTCTCTTCCTCTCCCTTTCCCCCCTCCCTCCCTCCCTCCCTCTCTCTCATACTGGGATAGGATGTAATCTAAGCAAGCACCCTCCATGTCTCCATGACTTGTACCCCAGTTTCTCATATCACACTTTTTAAGGAACCCCAAGGATTGTTCCCTGTGCGGGACACTCACGGCTCGCGTTCTCCAGGCGGACCAAGCAGTGGAGGAAGTCGTGGAAGTCCAGCTGCAGCGCCTCATCAGCATACCTGAGGACGGCCAGCTGCAGGAGGTGGCTGCTCAGCCGGAAGCCTGCAGGAGACAGGAGCAGGCTGCCACGTGGGCCACCAAGTCCTGGTCCTGGCCTCAGGGTCTCCTGGAACACCAGGTAGACAGCCGAAAGGAGCTGGGGCTCTCTGCCCGGCAGAGTACCAGCTCCCAGCAGCTGTGCCTGGGTGTGCACAGTGTGTGTCTGCATGGGTGTGCAAAGCATGTGTATACAGCCTGTATGCAATAGTGTGAGCACACGAGTGCATGGGTATGCTGGTGTGTGCTAGTGTGTGTAGGTGAGCACACATGGGTGTGCACCGTGTGTGTTGTGAACATATAGGTGTGCATGGTGTGTGCATGGGTGAGCACTGTAGGTGTGCAGGTTGTGTGCTGTGAACGTGTGGGTGTGCACAGTGTGTGTGTCAGGTGAGCACCATGGTTGTGCACAGTGTGGGTATGCATGGTTTGTGGTGTGAACATGTAGGTGTGCACGGTTTGTGGTGTGAACATATAGGTGTGCATGGTGTGTGCATGGGTGAGCACTGTAGGTGTGCAGGTTGTGTGCTGTGAACATGTGGGTGTGCACGGTGTGCGTGGGTGAGCACACATGGTGTGCACGGCGTGTGTTGTGAACGCGTGGGGAATGTCTGAGTGTGAGCGGGCATCAGCGTGTGGTAAGCTTGGCCCAGGTGTGCTGGCTTTCTGGAGGTGCAGGAGAGGCAGTACTCAGGTCTCTGGGGCTCCCTTCCCGGTGCACAGCTGGTGACCTCAGGGCTGGCATGGGATCCTGACCATTTCCCAGGGACGTTTAGACTGGATGGCCTGTGAGCTGTGCCTCTGTGGGGAGGGCGACACCCCCCCCCCCCGCTTCCACATGGGAGGGAGGGTGGCAGGAGGCAACGAGTCTAGGTGCTGCTCTGGCTGTGCATCTGGCTTTCTTCTCTGGGCCTTGCTGTCCTCTTGTGTCAGTGCAGGGTCTTGAGAAGTCCAGGTTATTTGGGGATGGCATTGGGTGTTTGCATTCTAGCTCACACTTCAGGGACAGTGGTGTCCCATCCACCCCGCGCACAGCTACCTGCATGCTCACAGCCCTGCCAGGGAGCTTGCTGCCCGTGTCAGCCACAGACAGAGGCCGAGGCCTGCCAGTCACTCCAGAGCCAGCTCAGTGCTGGAGGCGTGCTCAGAGCCCGGGCATGGGCACCATGGGGCTGAGGGCGCGATGCTGGCACCCCCCCCACACATGGGTCCTTTCTGAAAGAGCCCCTCTCTGTTTCCTGCTCTGTCCCCCCTCTGATGACAGGGCTATCACCCAGGAGGGCACCGGGCACCTTCTCAGAGGTGGCATCCGCATTTCTACCGTCTTCTTCCCCACAAAGCACCTGATACTGCTGCCAGGTGCTCCATGCTCAGTACCAGGCCTGGGCAGAGTCCTGATACTGCTGCCAGGGTCCTCAGTGCTCAGTAGCAGGCCTGGGAAATGTCCTGACACTGCTGCCAGGTGCTCCACACTCAGTACCAGGCCTGGGCAGAGCCTGGCTAGCCTCGCACCTCTGAGGCCCTGACCTTGAGAAGCACCAGCTCAGCTCAGCTCAGCAGCCACCATCCTGCCACTTGCCGGGCCATGTGTCCAGTGCCACAGCAGCCCCTCCCTGCAGTGTGGTACCTGCAGACTCTAGCGCGGTCCGAAGATCATAGGAGGACATGGTGCCTGATCTGTCCACGTCAAACTGAAGGAACAGGTCCTGGGGGACAGGAGGGAACAGGGCAGGTCTGAGGGCAGGAGGGGGCAGGGCAGGTTCTGGGAACAGGAGGAGACAGGGTAGGTTCTGAGGGACAGGAGGGGACAGGGCAGGCTCTCAGGACAGGAGGGGACAGGACACAGAGAAGAGCATGTCCAGCACAGTGTGGACAGCAGCGACCAGTGACTGTGGGGGCTGGAGAGGGAAGGCCAGACTGGCCTTTCCCCTTTGCCCTTCCCTTCCTCCCTCCGGGCTGGGGTCTGCACATGCCACACACCGTCCACTGCTTCAGCTGTCCCAGAACACCCGGAATTCACCAAACTCCAGTTTCCCATTGCCGCTGGTCTGGCCAGCTCGGTTAAGGAACGGCACGAAGTCTTAACCTAGGCCCCTGGGCTGGTAGGGAAATGGTGGGGGTGGGTGGGTGATGGCAGCGGGGGAGGTGGGGGGGGAGATGGGATGCGGGAGTGGGGTGGAGGACAGTGGTGGGAGGTGGGGGATGGTGGGAGTGTGTGGGTGATGTCAGGGGGGGAGGTGGGGAAGGTGGGACGTGGGGGTGGGGTGAGGGACCGTGGGGGGAGGTTGGGCATCGCAGGGGTGAGGTGGAGTGAGAGTTTTCGGGTCCCTAAACACAAATCAGAAGCCACCATCGCCCTGGTGGGACTCTGGGGGGGGGGTACAGATGCCTCTGTCCCATGCCGGCCTGGGGCCCCAGTTCTGGCTCGGCTCCAGCACAGGTGTCAGGCATTTCCTAGGGAAGTGTGTGCTGGGCCAGTGCCCCGTGCCCCGTGCCCCATGCCCCGCACCCCACGCCCGTCCAGGAAGGATACATCCATCAGAGAGATGATGTCTCTGCAGGACAGCACGCTCAGGGGCTTGAACTTGAGATCCTTCTCTGAAATCACACGGGAAAGCCCAGCTCTGCTGATCCAACGTGACCAGCTGCCGTCCTCCCCTGCAGAGAACCCAGCAGCAGTGCGGGCCCTCCGGACATGAGGCGCCCCCAGGACTCGAGCAGAGCGCCAAGGGGCCCTTTGCAGAGAATCTGTCAAGTATGCAAAGCCCAGAGACCTGAGCTGGGTTCTGAGGTGCGTTGAATGGCCTGCTCAGAAGAGCTAAACATAAGGCAGGATTTAAAATGGGTGCAGAGCTGTGTGGTTGTCCGCTGCCATCCACTGTAACCCATCCGGGGTCCTGGAAGCATCAAGCACCGAGTTCCCACGCCCGGCCACACTTGAGGGCTGTGGACGCCCTCACCCACCCCAAACCTGCTCTCCCACCCACGGCCCGTGGTGATGATGTGTGTCCGTGGCCAATGGGAGACGTCTGTCTCTGGTACCAGGCTTTTCTGCTTTGCTTTGAACTTCTCGCCGTCTACCCGTGTCCTTTTTGTCATCAGGAGATGAAGAACAGCAGGCATTTTAAGGCCCAACTACACGTCAGCCTGGCTGGGGGACACAGGTCTGCAGTTCTGGGGTGCGGGGGCCTCTGCCTCTGTTCAGTCCCTGGTCCCTGTTCACCACCCGAGGGTGTGGGACTTACTCTTTTGCAGCACAGCATTTAAAATATCCTGAAGTTCCTCAGCAGTCACCTCCATGTCCTGTGAGGAGAGATGATAGCTCTCTGGGGCCCTTCACACACACACACACACACACACACACACACACACACACACACACACACACACACATGCCCCACCAGTGCCCTGCCCAAGGGAGGGGGTGGATCTCAGGGCCTTGTGCTTGTCAGGCAGATACCCTACTGCTTAAACCATGCCTCCGGTCCTTCCTGGTCTCATTATTTTTCAAGTAAGGTCTCAATTTTTGCGCAGGTTGTTCTAGACTTCAATATTTCTATTTATACTTTTATGAAGCGGGGATGACAGGTATGAACTGCTGTGCCCAGCATCTTATTGGTTGAGAGGGGGTCTTGTGCCTTCAAACTGCAGTCTTCCTAATCTCAGCCTCTGGAGTAGCTGGGATTATGGGTGTGAGTCACTGTGCACAGCTCCCTGTCACTTCTAGGCTTGGTCCTGTCCCGATGGCAGATGCATGGCCTTCTTTGACAGTGCACTGATTTCAGGAGGCTCAGCCCACCCAGGAGAGTCCCAGAAAGGAGAGGGCTGGAAACCTGCCCAGGAGGCCTTTGCAAAGCCCCCCAACGGACTCCTAAGGTGCTGAGGGTGTTTGCAGAGCCCGCACAAGTCCCCACTCTCTGCCCCCTATCTGGAGGGCAGTGGACAGCCCCGGCTCCTGGGCTGCCCCAGCGCCACACCGGGCAGGGCACCTGCTGTGATTCGGGACCCTGGATAGAAGCATGGCTGACGAGACCACCACCCCACGGTCCTCTGCGAGAGGCCAGCCCCATCTCCGGCCCAGGGAGCCCAGCCGCGGCACCCACCTCACCAGCAACCTGTTGGAACAGGGCCCGGAACTGCCGCTCCTCCTCTGTCTCCCACTCTCGGGGCATCAGTGGTGGGGGCTGAGAAATAACCGAGGGCACACAGGAGGCAAAGTCGACAATTAGCGGGGAGGAGGAGATACCAGGAGGAGGAGCCCGCTGGCCAGGCCACTGACCGAGGAGTGGGGCACTTTCTGTAGCCAGCCACAGGCCGGCCAGGCACAGGATGCCAAGGCCAGCCTCCAGCGGCAGGAGCGCAGCGGGGAGGCCAGGAGGGCTTTGGGCATGCCCGGCGAGAGTGTGCACTGAGCATCTTGCCTTGGCATCACACACTAAATGGGCGTCTGAGATCCCAGCCGTCTTTGTGAGCCCTCCAGGAATGGGAGCCTGGAAAACAGCTGTTCTGCAGCACGGCAGAACAGCCGGAGTTCACAAGGCGGCTCGGGCTGTAGAAAACACAACAGGCCTCAAGGTCCCTCCAGTACCGTTTCCTGCCCCACAAGACAGAGCTGCAGCGTAGGATTTGCCCATCGTCTCTCCCAACTGCCACGAAGGCAGCGAACCTCTTGGCTTTAACTTGGGGATTCTGATGCCCCCCCAGTCTCACCCCTGGGCTGGAGTGACCTGCCCCACGGTCTCCAAATGGGAGATTTGATCCTCAAATGGATTTTCCGCAGCAGTGGCCAGCAGAGGGCGGCACAGAGCGGCAGGTCCTGGCTGCTGGGCAGCTGTGGCTTCTTTTATCATTGATTTATTTTCTTTAAATAATTTAGAAGCATTTCGTCCCTTCTTAAGTAGTGCGTGAGCCTCCGGTGGTGCTAAATCCCGGATAAACAATGGCCAGTGGAACTGGCCAGCAGGGGGTGGGGCGGGGTGGGGGTGGGGAGGATAGAAGGCACAAACCCAGGCCCAGGGTCTGATACCCCCCACCCACCCTCCACCCCTATAGCTGCTCCCTGATGTCAGAACCAAGCACCGAGCTTGAGGCACCAAGGTTGAGAGGAGGAGGAGGGGTTTCAGAGCCCTCAGCAGAGCCCCATTCTCCTGGCCGCACCAGAGGACTCACCCCAGGCAGGTTGATGTCCACGCTCCCATCCAGGTCCCTGCAGGGGGGAACACAGGCAGCTGCCATGTGATCTGTGGGTTGCTGGGCCCAGGGTAGCGCAGGCCTCTGGCCAGAGGAGCCCTGTTTGTGGGGGGCTGTGTACCTCCCAAGCCACCCCTCTAACTCCCAGGCCAGCAGCAGGCCAGCAGGCACTGCCTTCCCCCGAGCAGAGCCCACAGACCCGGGGCATGAAGGAAAGAGGACGCTGGGGAGGCTGCGGCTCCCTATTTCCTGGATACACTTGTCTGTTCTGATACCAACACGGAGCTGACAGTGTCAGTGTTGTGCAGGGCTCAGCCCAGAGCCTGGGGGCCGAGGCTGCCTGTCAGGGCCTGGAGCTCTGACTGCAGCCTGCGGATGGGCACAGCGGGCTTCCTGTGCTGACTGCCTGCAAGAGGCAGTGTGCTCAGATGTCCCATGGTAAGTGGACATGAAGCCCGTCCCCAGTGGAGTTCCAGCAGAGTGGAAATGTCGGCCTTGCTCCTGCTTAGCAAGAGAAGAGCCATGCAAGCTCCTGTCACTGAAGCGCGCTCCTGAGTGGAGCGGCCTCAGGCACAGCTCGCTCCGGCCAGCTCTGGGCGGGCAGGCCCTCCTGGGATGTATGGGGGTGCTGCCATTCCCGGAGATCTCCAGAGGAAAGAAATGGCCAGAAATGGCTCCTATATCTTGAGCCATCTCCCCTCTGCCGGAGCGGAGTGGCAGTGGAGAGGGGCATTGTTGGCGCTGTGGCGTGGCTGACTTGCTCTGCCCTCACCGGGTGACGGCCTTCTTCTCTGAAAAGATCCTCAGGCAGAAGTCCGCCTCCTGGTGTGGCTCAAAGGTGCTGGGCACCAGCACGTAGTCCCCCGGGGGCAGGCGGAAGCGCCCCGACACTTCCCGCAGGTTGATGAATGCCTTGCTCCTGGCCAGCGAGGCGTGGTACCTGAAGAAGTCCCTGCTCAGGCGTCCAGCCGTGCCCGGGCACTGCAACAGAAGCATGGCTGCAGGAGGGTGCCGGGCTCGCATCCTCAGCCACAGCGGGGTGGGGGGCGGGCCTCTGACCAGGGAGGACGCACAGAAGGGCACCCCAAGCCTCACCACTGCCTGGGAATGTGAGCCTCATGCCTACCTGGTAAATGGCGTAGCCGATGGTGAGCATGCTGCCACCAAACCTCTTGAGCTTCCTTCGGTCTTTCTGCATGAGGGCCACAAGGAAGCTGCACCCCTCCTGGCCCTCGTCCCTCTCAGACAGGGACAGTTTTATCTGTGGGTTGGTCCAGAAGGTGTCTGCCGTTTGAATGGGAGATATGATTGTCCCTGCTTGAACGCAGAAAGGAAAGCAAAAACCACACACACACACACACACACACACTGCCCTGCACTCTTATGAGGTCTGCCTAGCCCTAAAAAATGGCTTTCTCTTCCTGTTTCCATCAGCCCCCTTTCCCTGTCAGCACTTGTCCCCAGTGAGGTCTTGGAGCCCTGCCTTTTATTTCCACCTTTTTGTTGTTGTTGTTGTTGGTCGTGGGGCCTGAACTCTAGGCCTGGGCCCTGTCCCTCAGCTCTTCAGCTCAAGGCAAGCACTCTACCACTTGAGCCACAGCTCTACTTCCAGCTTTTTCTGCTTATGTGGTGCTGAGGAATCGAACCCAGGGCCTCATGTATGCGAGGCAAGCACTCTACCACTGAGCCACCTTCCCAGCCACTCTTCTTCTTCTTCCTTTTTTTTTGATACTATTCCTGGGACTTGAACTGTGGGCCTGGGCACTGTCCCTCAGCTCTTCAGCTCAAGGTGAGCACTCTACTATTTGAGCCACAGCGCCACTTCCGGTTTTCTGAGTGATTTATTGGAGATAAGAGTCTTGTGGACTTTCCTGTCTGGGATGGCTTTGAACCTGGATCCTCAGATCTCAGCCTCCTGAGTAACTAGGATTACAGGTGTGAGCCACTTTTGCTGGACTATTTCTGCCTTCTTTGGAGCTATTTCCCGGACACCTTCCCCGTGCTCTCCAGGGTCTGCTCAGCTATTTTTCTACTCTGGGAGGTGAGCAGGTCCTCTGCCGCCCTCTGGTGGCCACAGTGCTGACTGCAGTCGGAGTAGAGCTGCCCCAAGTCTGCTGCCCAGAGCAGCATCAGCTCCTCCAGGGATTGCCAGTTTGAGGAGCTGAGCACTCTGCTCCCTGGTTCTTAGGACTGTGCTCAGAAGCTCCCGTGCAGCTGGCCCTGTCCTGGGCATAGAGCAACCATTGGGGCTGGAGGCGTGGCTCAGTGGGTAGAGCACCAGCCAACAAGCCAAAGTATTGGGTACTGAGTTCAAGTCCCAGTTTCAGACTTCCTTCCGCCCCCAAAAAGAAAGACAAAGAAGAAACCAGTGGAGAAAGCAGTCAACACAGAAAGCAGTGTCGCATGGAGTACAAGCAAATGGCCTGGGGAGGTGGAGCTCTTCAGCTCCGTGGGATGACCGCTAGCCTGGTCCTGCCACTGCTGCTCTGGAGAGTAACCCAGGTGCTGGGGCTCATCCCCTCCAGGTCCCTTCCCCAGCCACCCTCACAGCTTGCTTCCAATGTCACCAACTGACACTCCAGTATGGGCTAGACACCTGGGAGAGGGAGAGGGAGAGGGAGAGGGAGAGGGAGAGGCAGAGGGAAAGGGAGAGGAGAGGCAGACCACATACCCAGGAAGTTGCGGCAGCCGCCAGCGGTGCAGCCTCGGACCCAGCTCCCCTGGTGGACAGTCACCTCCCACCCGTGCCGGGCGTGGTCCCCCAGGGCATCGGGTGTGAGGTTGCAGATCTCCACTTTGTCGAAATGGGCCTTGAAATCCTCAAACGCCATCCTGTCGGGCAGTGGACGGGGTGGGACATGACCTCCCCCGGGAAAGGGAGGGTAGGTGTGTGGGGTGGGGAAGGGGAGAGAAAATGCTAGAACAAAAAAGCTAAGGGTACAGCTTGGTGGGATGGGGCTTGGCCAGGCCACAGCCCCGTGGCAGCCAGCAGTGGCCACATCCGAGACACGTCCCGAAGGTAGGTTCTAGCATCGCTGACGGGTTGGGCTCGCCCACCCACCAAGGACCAACACGGGGTGGAAAGGAGGAGCACTGTACCAGAACTCTCCGTCATCCAGAGCAGTGTGGCACAGGCGCGTCTGCTCAGCCAGGTCTATGGAGCGCCACTCAGGGGAGCTGGGGGCGACGGAGCAGGCACTCAGCCTGGGGTGCTGAGAACCCTCCAGGAACCTTGCCGTGTGCAACACGGGGGACTCATGCTGCCCTGTGAGTGCTCACACGTGCCCAGGCCAAGACCACACGAGGCTGGGAAGAAAACCCACCTCCACGTGCAGTGATGGACAACCCAGCCTCAGGGGCTTCCCAGGTAGGTCACAGCAGACCAGCCATGGCAGACCAGCCACACAGACCAGCCACAGCAGACAATCCAGCCAGGACTGCAAGAGAGCAAGGCTGGGAGTCTCAGCTGACAGCCCCTCCCCTCCGCTGCTTGCTGTGGGACCGCAGGTCACAGCCCCTCCAGATACTTTGGATGTCAGGTGCTGGGGAAGAGCTGGTGATGAGTAGCACCACTAGCCCCACTGAGGCCAGTGCTTGCTGCCATCCACACTTGGCCTCATAACAATGGCCGCCCTATCCCGAGGGTCTACCCTCAGGTTTCTAAACCTGTAAGAAGACACTCTTGTATGCACTCTGCATTTCCTGTGCACATCTGCCAATGACTGTCAGGTTACGACAAAGGCACGCTGCAGCAGTTATACCTCAGAGCAAGCTACGTGAATGCGCTAGTTCTTCTCTTTTTCCTCTTTCATTGTCCCATTGGTCTTAACATCCTCGGATATAATGCTGTTTTACTTAGAGGAAGCTTGTCTGAGTTCCGTGTCACCACTCTTGCGTTTGGGTCATTACTAAGTAAAACAAGCATCGCCAGGGCGCACACACAGGTGGCCCTTGGTGTGAGCAATGAGGCTCAGTGAGAGGTGAGCACGTGTTTCCATCACACCACCAGACTTCCTGACACCGAAACTTAGGATTTATTCCTGTTATTTATTCCTTAGTTATTCCTAGAATATTAGGGCAAATGTTGATTGAAGGCAAGACCCAGTGCTGTGGCACTGGGCCACGTGGTGCAGTGGGTGGCAGTCCTGGTGGATGTCAGTCCTGGCGGGTGTCAGCCCTGGTGGATGTCAGTCCTGGTGGGTGTCAGTCCTGGTGGGTTTCAGTCACAGTGGGTGGCAGTCCTGGTGGATATCAGTCTTGGTGGGTGTCAGTCCTTGTTGCATGGTGACATGATACACTCTGCTTTTTGGCTTTAATGTGTTTCCGGTCTTTCCATTTCTTCCAGGAAAAGAAGGCCAATCTCTTCCCTCCTTTCACATGTGGTCTGACTCCCTCCCTGCCAGTGCCTTAGAATCAGAGCAGGCAGAAGCCAGGACAGGTGATCAGGGTAGGACTAGGCTGGGACAGCAGTGTCCCACCTCCAAGTCAAGTGGGCCACTGTCCCAGGTGAGAGACACTGCTGAAGCTGACCCCCTTCCAACCAGGGCCCACTGAACCCCATCATATGTCTTTTCTGAGGACCAATTTTGACTATAGTGGGCCCTCGGGTTGCACGTCACCTGAGGTCCTGTAGGACCTTCCTGTAGAAAGCAGGGAACCCCAGAGGCAGGGTAGACCCCGGATAGGAGCTAGGGAAAGTTGCAGAGCAGCCAAGCCCCACTCAGGCCTGACCTCCTGTGTCCCGGGAGCCAGCCAGAGGGATGGCCACTGACCTGTCACTCCATGGCCCGGTCCACTCCACCTGGCCCCAAGGGTTTCGGATCCGGATCAGCTCGATCTTCTGGCCTTGGACGATTACCTAGAAGGGAAAAGCATGAAGGAAATGTGAAGAGGCACCTTGGGCTCCTCTGCCTGCAGGTCTGTACCAAAGGCCTCGTGGCCAAAGGATGCTGATGATATTCTTCATAAAATCATGGTACAGCGGTTGGAGTTCTGGGGCTTGTACTTGCTAGGCAGGCGCTCTGCCACTGGAGACGTGGTCCTGGCCCTTTGTGCTCTAGTTATTTTTCAGATAGGGTCTCAGATTTCACCTAGGCACAGCTTGTGCTGAAATCTTCCTTCCTATACTTCTCATGTAGCATCATTCCTACCCTCCTTCCCTCCCTCCCTCCCTTCTCTAAAATGTCTCAGAGGTGTTTGCATTACTAGACACACTGAGCGGGCACCAAGGGGCCACTGTTGTTGTGTCCTCCCCCATCCCCCATGGTGGGTGCTGCTCCATTGCCGTGTGTCCCCCATCCCCCACAGCGGGTGTTGCTCCAGTCCTCCCATCCCTCCATCTCCGTGTGGCATGTCTTGCTCCCACCTGGTCAATTCCTGTCACGGTATAGGCGTGACCCTTGATAAGACCCAGTGGTGTCCTGGCTTCAGAATCAGCAGCATTTCTTATCTAAAATTGAAAGAGCAGCATCAGATCCATTGTACAAGGCAATCCATCCCTATCTGTCACATCCACCAGCTCTCCCCTCCCCCCAGGGGTGGCCATGTCACATCTACCAGCTCCTTGCCCCCAGGGTGGACATGTAAGAGGCACAGAACACGCCTAAGATACTTTTCAGTGGGGCATGGCCTTTTCCCAAGCAGGATACCCTTATTCTCAGCAATGAATTACTTTCTACCCCCAAGCTGAATCTAGACATCACACCATGCAGTGTATCATGAGACAGACAATCACACAATCGCCTGTGCCCAGGGTATGCTGAGTAGTTTATGCCACTGCAACAGCCGACTGTCACAGACAGGACATGCAGGGGGATAGACATGTTTACCAACTGTGTCACAGATGGGACTTGCAGGGAAGGTGGAAAAGTTCACCGACTGTGTCACAGACGGGATGTGCAGGGAGATGGGCAAGTTCATCAGCAAAAAACCAGATCCCCAAGGTTAATTACAGAGGAAAAAGAAACCTTGAATAGATTTTAAAAAAGAGACGAGGTAATGTTAGAAAGGAGTGTTAGGTGTCTACTGACTTGATATTTGTTCCTGGTACATAAGCAAAAGAAGCAAGTCTCAGAAACGCATGTGGTAGGGCTCCCTTTACGGAAATCAAGCCAGCCTTGCCTGGTTGTGTTCCATTTGAGAGTCTGCTGTGTGAGCAGAGGTGTGGCAGGCAGAGGGGGCCAGGCAGGGTGGGGCAGGGATAGGACTTGGTTGGAGGGAGAGACAAGCATGCCTCAGACCCATTCCACCTGGCAGCAAGGGTACCTTAACATTCTAATCCAGAATGCACAGACTAAAATTTGTTTTAATTTAAGAAGTAAATGCCAGTCCCTATCTCAGGGCTGGTGCTCCACTGCATGGGACCTGGGCCCCGTGGAGGAGCCCAGGCTAGCATGGTGCCTGGACAGGGGCAGCAAGACTTACGTCGATGGAGCAGCCTAGCAGGGAGCCTTGTTTCAGGGCCTTCCGCAGGATGGCATGGAGATCCTCCGGGGCCTCTCTGGTCTGGAAGTTCTCAGACACGCCCCCGGTGAAGTCCTCCATGGCCTCCATTGCACTGCCACCCTTCAGGGCCTCATAGCTGCCGTTCAGCCTGCAACCACAGATGGGGTGTGTGGGGAGCACAGCTGGCTCCAGAGACCTCATGGTGTGCCCCCCTCCTCTGTGCAGCCGCTGCAATGGTGTTGCACGTAGCTGGGGGTGAAAAACATGGCTGATGAGTTTGGATCTGCCCTCCTCTATTCAATCATCTATTAAAAGCAGTATGGATTCCTTGGTATTTATCTTGACATCAGTTTATGATCCAATGTTGCTTTCTTTATTTTGCTGTTCTACTGTGATCTAGCTTAGGCTGTCTGGGGCACCTCACTCCTTGGCCCTGCCCAGCCCCACAGCTCCTTAAGGCCAAGTCCTGCCAGTTCTCACTGCAGAGCAGCTGGTGAGGGGCAGGGCTTGGGTCTCACTGCAGAGCAGAGCTGGTGAGGAGCAGGGCCTGGGTCTCAATGGCTGGTGAGGGGCGGGGGCCTGGATCTCACTGGCTGGGAGGAGCAGGGCCTGGGTCTCAATGGCTGGTGAGGGGCGGGGGCCTGGATCTCACTGGCTAGGAGGAGCAGGGCCTGGGTCTCACTGCAGAGCAGCTGGAGAGGGGTGGGGCCCGGATCTCACTGGTAGGTGAGGGGCGGGGCCTGGGTCTCAATGGCTGGGAGGTGGGGCCTGGTCTCACTGCGGAGCCACTGGTTAGGGGCAGGGCCGGCACCCCTGGGAGCCAGCCTTACTTGGCATATGCCTTCTCTAGCAGGGCGCTCCAGAACTCGTTGTGGTCTGCAGAGTGGAGGAAGACCAGCCGGTCCCGGAAGGTGGGCAGTCTGTCATCGATCACCACATCCAGCCACTCACAGTGCTGCCAGAACTGTGCCGGGGAGAGGAGAGATGCAAGGACAGTCACACCGAGGTGCATGGGGATGCAGACCCCTCCCCTGGCCATCCTGGACTGTGCCAGGAAGAGGAGAGATGGAAGGACAGCCACACTGAGGTGCATGAAGGTGCAGGACTGTGCTGGGGAGAGGAGAGATGGACGGATAGTTACACCAGGTGCTTGGAGGTGTAGGCAGGCCCCTCCCCTGGCCGTCCCGGGCAGTCCCATGCGGTACCATGCAAAGCACCAGATGGGGCTCTGTCTACTCAGCCTCATGCTGGACCCACCACAGATCCCAGCTCTGAGACTCACTGTTACCCTGGAAGTGAGGAGGGGGAGAAGAGGAGGAAGAAGAAGAGGAATAGGGTGGAGAGGAGGGGAGGAAGAGGATGAGGAGAAAGAGGAGAATATGGAAAAGAGAGGAGAAGAAATAGAAGGGAGAGGAGGAAGAAGAAGGGGGGGAGGAGGAGGAACGGGATGAAGATGAGGAGAAAGAAGAGGAAGAAGAAAGGGAGGAGAGAAGGAGGAGGAGGAGGGAGAAAAGGAAGAGGAGGACATCAGTCAGGGGTCAGGTACAGTGGCCCCAGAGGTGTGGACACAGCTTGGCTGGGTGCCCTGAGCTCTCTCCGCCTGCTTGGTGTCCCCGGGGACTGTCCTGATCGGCTCCACCTGCCCAGTGTTAGTCAGACTCAGTCTGCCCAGTATCCCGGTCACCTGCGTGTGGGGGAGTTCCCACCACTCACCGTGGCACCTGGCAGAGGTGTCTGAGGCCTACTGGGTGCAGCACTGTGCCAACTTCCGTGGGGCCTGTGTGACTCTCTAGAATGGGGCACAGGGGGCCCCGCTCCCGCCACCCCTCCCCAGGGCAGACCCACCACCCAGGACCCCTACCTGGAAGTGGAATATGCCGGCATAGCCAGGGCCGAAGCCTTGGTCCTGGGGAACCACTCTGGCCAGTGCTTTCTCATTCAGAGTGAGGGAGGCGATGGCAGCCAGCAGCCAGCAGTCCCCTGCAGGGCCAAGACTAGGTCACACTGGGCCCTGACCAGTGTCCCCTGTCAGCGACTTGGAAATGTGGCGCCCAGAGAGTGCAGCACCAGGCACTGCTCCCCCCCTCCCGCCTCCCTGCTCAGTTGTGGCTGCCCTTCCTGGGGACCAAGGCTGACGCTGGCCCCTGGGGCAGAGGCTCTCAGAATGAGCCTGGTGGGGCCTCCTGGCTCCCCAAAGCCCTGGTGTGGTTTGGGGATCCACAGAGGCAGCTCCACCGTGGCTGCATTTGCCTTCCATGCTCTGCAGGTTCCAGATCAGCGCCTACCATGTGGAGCACCGAGCTGGTGTCACCAATGCTCACCCAACCCCGGAGCCAGGACCACATCAAACAACCCCACCCCACTGACCCCACAGCTCACTCACTGACCCTTACAGCCCCCATCCACTGACCCAGCACCCCGTTCACCCCCTACAGCTCACCCACTGAACCCACAGCTCACCCGCTGACCCCCACAGCTCACCTGCTGACCCCACAGCTCACCCGCTGACCCCACAGTCCCACCCACTGACCCCACAGCTCACCCACTGACCCCACAGCTTACCTGCTGACCCCCACAGCTTCCTGCTGACCCCCACAACCCCACCCACTCACCCAGCTCTCCCTGACAGATGTCAGTCCTGGTGGCCCCTCCAAGAATGAATTCTGGGTTTTTTACAATTTCCTGGAGGAATTAGAGCATCATTAGTGGAGTCTGCAGCATGAAGTCTTAAGAAGGGAGCAGGAATACCCCCAGCCCCTTCCCGTGGAAGGCCTGTGGGAAGAATGCAAGGCCATGGAGGTTGTGACCCCAGCCTGGGTGTCTGTATACAGCTCACCAAATGAGCTCCACCCTGGCATCATGTTCTCCCAGAGATCCAGCCACCCTGGGCCACGGTGGACCAGTGGCCACAGCACCCACAGACACCCAGCCACAGGACCCAGACACAGCACCCACAAATACCCAGCCACAATACCTGGACAGAGGCCCACAGACACCCAGCCACAGCACCTACCCAGACACAACACCTGGACAGAGACCTCCAGACACCCAGCCATAGCACCCACCCAACCACAGCACCCACCCAAACACCCAGACACAGCACTCAGACACAATACCCACAGACACTCAGCCACAGCACCCAGAGGCCCCCAGACACCAGCTGCTGTTTTTGTGGGTGTGAGTTTGGGTCACCTTTTATTTATCAGTGCCATGAATAGAGAAGATGTGCACAAGTCCTTCATGTCATATCACAGCAGTGTATTTCCTCTTACTATGTATGTATTTTGTATAATTATAAATAGTATTATATTAATCATTAATACATAATACATAATCTGGGAAGATATGGATCTCTCTCTCTCTCTCTCTCTCTCTCTCTCTCTCACACACACACACACCAAAATGTTAAAAGGCATACCAGGGATACAATTCATACATTTGAGAAACTATTTAGAATACCACAAGCATGTCACAGACTCTGAGTCGGGCTGGCATGTGGCACGAGGCCCAGGTCACCTCTACTCCTGCAGCACCCCCGCAGGTTCTGCGGACCCCAGCACTGGGGGGCTAGAGAACACCCCCCGCAGGCCTCCCGCACTGCAGTGTCTGCAGACAAGGTCCCTCGCCAGTGCTGAACCCAGCTCAAACCTGGGGGAGGGAGCCTCTGCTCTCAGAAATCTCCCCAGCCCTGGTCCTCCCCCCAGCCCTGGCCCTCCCCCCCCCCCTGCCCTGGTCCTCCCCCCGCTCTGATCCTCCCCCCCCAGCCCTGGTCCTCCCCCCCAGCCCTGGTCCTCCCCCCAGCCCTGGCCCTCCCCCCCCCCGCCCTGGTCCTCCCCCCGCTCTGATCCTCCCCCCCCAGCCCTGGTCCTCCCCCCAGCCCTGGCCCTCCCCCCCCGCCCTGGTCCTCCCCCCTCTCTGATCCTCCCCCCCCAGCCCTGGTCCTCCCTTCAGCCCTGGTCCTCCCCCCAGCTCTGGTCCTCCCTCCAGCCCAGGTCCTCCCCCTCAGCCCTGGTCCTACCCCCAGCCCTGGTCCTCCCTCCAGCCCTGATCCTCCCCCCAGCCCTGGTCTTTCCCCCAGCCCTGGTCCTCCCCCCAGCCCTGGTCCTCCCCCCAGCCCTGGTCCTCCCCCCGCCCTGGTCCTCCCCCCTGCCCTGGTCCTCCCCCCAGCCCTGGTCCTCCCCCCAGCCCTGGTCCTCCCCCTCAGCCCTGGTCCTACCCCCAGCCCTGGTCCTCCCCCCAGCCCTGGTCCTCCCCCCAGCCCTGGTCCTCCCCCCTGCCCTGGTCCTCCCCCCTGCCCTGGTCCTCCCCCCAGCTCTGGTCCTCCCTCCAGCCCTGGTCCTCCCCCCCACCCTTGTCCTCCCCCCGCCCTGGTCCTCCCCCTCAGCCCTGGTCCTACCCCCAGCCCTGGTCCTCCCCCCAGCCCTGGTCCTCCCCCCGCCCTGGTCCTCCCCCCGCCCTGGTCCTCCCCCCAGCCCTGGTCCTCCCCCCTGCCCTGGTCCTCCCCCTCAGCCTTGGTCCTACCCCCAGCTCTGGTCCTCCCTCCAGCCCTGATCCTCCCCTCAGCCCTGGTCCTCCCCCCGCCCTGGTCCTCCCCCCAGCTCTGGTCCTCCCTCCAGCCCAGGTCCTCCCCCTCAGCCCTGGTCCTACCTCCAGCCCTGGTCCTCCCCCCAGCTCTGGTCCTCCCTCCAGCCCTGGTCCTCCCCCCCACCCTGGTCCTCCCCCCGCCCTGGTCCTCCCCCTCAGCCCTGGTCCTACCCCCAGCCCTGGTCCTCCCCCCAGCCCTGGTCCTCCCCCCGCCCTGGTTCTCCCCCTGCCCTGGTCCTCCCCCCAGCCCTGGTCCTCCCCCCTGCCCTGGTCCTCCCCCTCAGCCCTGGTCCTACCCCCAGCCCTGGTCCTCCCTCCAGCCCTGATCCTCCCCTCAGCCCTGGTCCTCCCCCCGCCCTGGTCCTCCCCCCAGCTCTGGTCCTCCCTCCAGCCCAGGTCCTCCCCCTCAGCCCTGGTCCTACCTCCAGCCCTGGTCCTCCCCCCAGCCCTGATCCTCCCCCCAGCCCTGGTCCTCCCCCCAGCCCTGGTCCTACCTCCAGCCCTGGTCCTCCCCCCAGCCCTGATCCTCTCCCCAGCCCTGGTCCTCCCCCCAGCCCTGGTCCTCCCCCTCAGCCCTGGTCCTCCCCCCAGCCCTGGTCCTCCCCCTCAGCCCTGGTCCTCCCCCCAGCCATGGTCCTCCTGTCCTCATGTTCTTCCCCCCTGGTCCTCACATCTCCCTCTTCCCCTGCCCCCCTCCGTCCTCCTGTCCTTGCCCTAAGCTTGGGCCACCTTCGAGCTCTCAGCGGTCACAGGGCTCACCACCGCCCCCTCCCCACACTGTTTTTCAGTACTGGGTTGGCCTGGCAAGTGCTCCACCACTGGGGACGCACCTCCAGCCCCTTCTGCCTTCCCTATCATTCAGACAGGACCGCGTGCTCTGCCCCAGGGTCTGCAGTGCTTTGCTCACCCCTGAGAGGCTGGCGTGGCAGGCGCGGCAGGCACACGCCAGCTGAGATGCGCTCTTGGTAAGTTTTTGCCCGGGACCATGGTCCTCCCAATCTCAGCCTCCTGAGCAGCTGGGATTGTAGTAGGGAGCTACTGTGCCAGCCCCTCCTAACTCCTGTCCGGCATGTTTCCTGTTTCCCTCCCAGCAGAGCAGGCAGTGCTGGGTTTGCTCCCGGCTGCGTCTCCACCCCCCCCCCCCCCCCCGGTCCTTCTGCCTCACTCTCCCACCCTGCACACTCGTGTTTGACAAGAAGGCGGAGCTGGGGAGGCCACCTACCCACAGCAGCCATACGCCTTCTGCTCACAGTGGAGATGTGTCCACAGAAGTGATTCACACACCTTCCGGGCCCCGCCCCACCCCCTGCCCCGCATGCCCCCTGCCCCTTGCCGCCACGGTGACAGATGCCATGGGATGCCAAGGCCCAGTCCCCGAGCATGGGCAGAGAGCAGGAACAGCCTCTGCAGTAAGGCCCGGACCCGGCCTGCCCGGTCCACACTGATGGAACAGTTTCTGGAAACAAGTCCACAAAAGGGGTGCACAGGAGTCTGAGCGGAGGACTAGGGTCACTCAGTCCCAGGGGTGGGTGCAGAGGGGATGGGGTGGTCTTGCAGCTACCTTGCAGGGACAGGTCAGGGACTGTGGGCGAGGCTGGTGGATGGAGCCGGCCTGGCGGGGTGTCTGTGACACCGTCAGCCCTGGGGCTGAGCTCCGACTCACCTGCAGCCTGGGTGCAGGGGAGACCAGGGCAGCAGCCTGAGGCCTGCATGCAGGAGGGGACAAGGGCAGAAGCATCCAGAGACTGCAACCTGGTGCGATGCGGGAAGTGGCAGGGCTGGGGATGGGGAGGAGGAGTGGAGGCGCCCTGGCGCTGGCTCTCTTCTATCACAGGAAGTTACCCAGATCCCTGAGGGATGTCACCTGGGGCAGGCAGGGAGCTCCCGGCTATGCCAGGAGCCAGTGCCCATCGCTGTCTGAAGCACCAATTGACCGTGGTGCTGAGGCTCAAGGCCTCGGGGCCTTGGCTCCCTGCTCCCTGCTCCAGCATGGCTTGCCTCACCTGGCTCTGAGCTGGAGCTTTCTTTTCATACTGAGCAGCAGGGAGAGCTCGGCTCTTTGAGGGGCACCCTGGGCAGAAGGGAAAGCTGCCCAGGGCCAGAGGTGACCAGGCCTGGCTTCGGCCCCCTGCACTTCCAACTTCTCTGGAACTCTCTCCTGGGATCCCGACGGGCAGTTCCCACCATGGGAAGAATCCCCACACCACTTGCAGGCTGGCATGGCCACTGTGCGCCTGTTGTGTGTGTGCCAGGCCTGGAATAAGCCAGCAGGCCACGGTGGTGGCTGGCACCTGTCAGAGGCCCTGTGACTATGGCCGGCAGGGTGGTCTGGTCATCTGGTCATCTGGCACCCACCAGAGGCCCTGGGACTGTGGCTGGCAAGGTGGTTGTGGCCAGCAGGGTGGTCTGGTCATCTGACATCCACCGGAGGCCTTGTGACCGCGGCCAGCAGGATGGTTGTGACCGGCAGGGTGGGCTGGTCATCTGGCACACAGGGCACCCACACTGCCAACATCCTGACCTCACTCTGCAGAACAAAGCTGCTGTGTGCTCAGGGCGACATGTCCAACTAGCACTGACACAGGACTTCACACTGCATCCTGTGTGAGGTCCAATAGATGGAGCCTGGAGCATGTGCCTTGCTGTGCCTGTAGGCATCTGTGCACACACAGATCACAGATCTGTTTACAGGCATAGCACACACATGTATACATGTACATGCACATACACATGTATACAATATATCAAGGCTTCTGTGCACACAACACACACAAACATGTGCATAATGCATAGACATGCATGCACACATGTGTGTATATACACACATACAGCCATGCAAATACTCAGACGTGCGTACACACACACATACTCCTGTGCGCACACACATTCATGTGGAGACATGCACAGGAGACATTTGTATGCTCATGCACATGTGTGTACATGCATGCATGTACCATGCATGTGCCATACGGGTGTGCATGTACAATCTAATAAATATGTGCATGGGTGCACACATAGACCCCACTCTGCCGAACCATAGGAACTAGCAATGATGACCTCACTACTTCACACACACCCGCTCCTGTGTACTCTGGTCCTGGCCCTGAAAAGCTGTTGTAAAACAGTTTTCAGTCTGGGAACGGTGGCTCAACCCTGTCATCCCAGCACTTGGGAAGCTGAGGCCGGAGAATCACGAGTTCAAGTCCAGCCCAGGCTATAGAGTGAGACAATGCTTCAAGAAGAAAAAGAAGAAACATCACCACTGCCACCCTGCACACAGACATGCCAGCCAGCTGTGACTTAAGCGCTGGGCGATGGGGAGGAGGGGCTGTGGTGAGCACACTGCTTCAGGTAAATAAGATGGCACGCGCTAATGATAAGAAGAGGACAGCGAGGCCAAAGTGACCCCAGCCGCCACCCCCTGGCATTATGGCCACCCCTGCTGTGAGTGAGCAATGGAGTCCCACCTCTGCTCCAGCTCCCAGCCAGCACACACAGCTGGATCTGCGGAAGCTGCTCCCAGGCAGGCCCCACCCAGGAGGTTCAGGGCTGTGGCTGGGCTGGAGAGAGAGCCGCAAATATTGACATCTCGTCCCAAGCCCCAGCTGGCGCCTCCTGGGGCCTCCGCCTTCAGGCCGTCCTCTGGGGGTGGGGAGCTCCTAGCTGCCACATCCCCATCTGCCAGCCGGGCTCAGATCCACCCAGTGGTCCTCAGCTCCATGGGGTTCAGGGTCACCCTCGAGTCCTCGCGCACAGGGTGGACACCCGGCCATCTCCGGTTTTTGCCCTGGGATTCCCATGGGACATGTGGCCTGAGCTCTGTCCTTTGGAAAAAGCTCTGATCACCACCACCCAGGACCCTGGGCACCTGGTTGGGAGTGGGTGGCAGGGGCCATGCCATGTCCCTGGCCCACGTGTCATCCGCGCCACCTTGGCCTTTGCACGGCAAAGCCTTCCACGGAGAAGGTGGGCATGTACGGCCATGCCCAGTCTGCCCTCCCAGCCCTCCCCCTGCCTCGCCTCTGCGGAGCTGCCCGTGCTCTGCCCTCCACCTGCCACTCACCCCTGGCCGTTTCCACACGAAGGGGACCCTGGGCCTCTCGCTGTAGAACAGGGAGGTGTGGCTGGCCGGGAAGTCCGCGTCCTCGAACAGCGTGCCAGAGCCCAGGCAGCCCTGCCTTAGCGCCTCGAAGCTCTGGCCTGAGGAGTGGATGGGCCGTGCAGCCCTGGGCCCCGGATGGGCCCCGTCACCCGCGGCCCGGTGCTGGTAAGGCATGGCTCTTCCCGGCGGGCTCAGTGGTAGAAGAGACAGAGGTCAGGTGTCCACGAGCCACACGTCCTGGTCAGCGAGGCCCAGCTGAGTGGCCTCACCTCCACCTCACCTCCACCTGTTCGCTGGGCTCCTCCCTGGGAGTCAGCAGGGGACTCGCCCAGAGGCAAACATGGAGAGGGACCCCTACCGGCTCCGCCCAGCACAGCTGTGCACGTTGTGGGCTGAGGCAGGGCAGGGCCATGACTGCTCCACTGCCAAGGCCAGAGGAGGGCAGCTGCCAGAAGCCACGCTGGCTCAGGAGGAGGCTGAGGGGAGAGGACACTGCATTGTCCACAGGGTCCCAGGACCATGTGCCATTCTAGAAGCGCATGTGGATGACAGATGCACGAGTGGATGATAGATGCACAGCCAACTGCTGGGTCTTGGGAGGACTCGGGACCTGCAAAGGGAGGGACTCTCCTTCCTCTCCTCGTGCTCTGGCTCCTGCTCAGGGCCCCTTTGGGTCTTGCTGGCCAGCTCCCTGGCGTCTGTCCAGCAGCGAGGGGCTGGACCCTCCAGCTGGAGTCCACAGGGCTCTGATCAGCCATGGAGCTTCCTATATCTGGTCCCGCACACTTTTGTGGCCAGTGGGCAGCCAGAGGCAGGTGTGGTGATGGAGGCTGTGGATCTGGAGGCTTCTCTGTGGGAGGCAATGCCCCTGGTCCCCAGACTGCCCCCTTCAAAAGCCCCAGCACCCAGGAGAGGACCGCGAGGCAGACTTGTCAAGGGCTTTCCTGGCATAGGGTCTGCTCCAAGCTCCAAGGGCCTGGCTTGCTCTGCTCTGCTGTGGAAACAAACACCTCCTGGGCTGGGACCCACTATCCCCCCTCCCCCACCGCTGCTGGCTCCAGTCACCAGGCCTGGCCCATCTGTCCTGCTAGGGCACAGGTGAGCCAGTCTTCATAGTTCAGTTACCAGTGACCAGAGGGTGGCATTGACTCAGCCCTGGGCCTGTCTCTGGAACGGGGCTGGACAATGTGTGCTCCCTGCTGCCCAGGAGGGCGGACGCCCTGAGCGTCTCTGCCTAGTAACGCAGCCAGACCCGAGGTCCTGTGCCCTGGACATCTGCGGCCAGCCTGGGTGGTCAGTGCACGGTGCCCATCCTCCCTGGGGAACTGGCACTGGGCTCTGCCTCCATTGCAGCGCAGGTCACGGATGTGAGTGAGCAGCAGCCTGCTCCCCAGTGAGCCACGGCCTGACCCGCACAGCCCCTCATCCTCTGCTCCACCCCTGCCCCTCTGCCGGCCCTCCACAGGTCCAGCCGTGTGCTGCGTAGGCTGAGCTTAGGCTGGGTCCCTCCAGTGGGCCGAGGCAGATCCCCAAAACACAGTGGTATACCCAGCCCCCTCTGCTCTGCAGCACGAAACCCTAGCTTTGCTGCACAAGCTGTCCCTTAAGACAAGCGGGCTTGCTGGCCCCAGAGTTCTACCTGCGCCCGCAGACAGCAGGGTCAGTCCCGGGCAGGGGTGAGGAGGGGTCAGCATGGCTGACCTTCACAACACGGCTGACCTTGACAGTTGACCTCCACAGTGCAATGTCAAGTGTGTGAAGCTCAGTCCCAAGACCAAGGGCGTTCACAGGCAAACGTGAACATGAGAACCACAGAGGAGACAGCCATAGGGGCCAAGGGCTGTGCAGGGGAGAGGGAGAGCTGGAAAGGTGGACCTTAGGGCTTCTAATTAAGCTGACAGAATGTTCTAGAACTGTGCAGATGGTTGCACAATTCTGAGTGTACTGAAAATCACCAGTTGTGTGTTTTAAATAAGTGGATTGCATGGCATGTGAAATATGCCCCAGTAGTGTTACTTTGCAGAAACAAGTGAGTTCTGTACTTGATTTTGTTCTCTACAGTGTTTTGTGACGTTTTAATCCTTAAAAATACTATTTCAGCTTGAATAATGAATAATTAGTGATAACATGTGTTTTCTAAGCATTCTTGGCCCTTAGGTTCAAATACCTTCTATGCAGAAAACCTCTGCATGAGTGGAGTTGTTCTTCCCAGAGATGCAGGCTGCTCTGTGTGAATCAGGCAGATAGGCTTTTGCTAAGAGGATTTGGAGAACCCCTCCCTAAATGGACTTAGAGTTGAGGGACCAGATGTATGCCGCCCTATCTTTTGGGGGGCTGCGGCCCACAGCCCAGTAGGAAGCTAAAATACTGCTTGGATGGTTGTGTTAGAGACGATGTGTGGTGATGTGTGTCTGTAGTCCCAGATACCTGGGAAGCCAATGCAGGAGGACTGTGAGTCTGAGGCTAGTCTGGGCGACATATGGATGCTGGGGCAGTAGTTCACTGACACAGCACGTGTGGTGCTTTGTGAGGGCCTAGGAGTTGCACTAGAACTCAGTTGCAGGGAACAGAGAAGCCACATTTTGAGAGGTCCAATTGGGAATCTTTATTGGAGATTCGGAGACTACAGGTGGAGTCCTGTCACAAAGATCTGCAGTCCCACAAATATACTTACCACTATTAGAACACGGAGCCATGCCCGGAATAAAGCAAAGGAAGAGCTGTGAAACAATACCAACAAACCAGATCAACTCCATGGAGAGCTGCAGTGAGATGTCATGGTGACCAGAGGAGAGCCAGGAGACATGAGACATGAGACACCAGACAAGAGATGAGACACAAGATGAGACACAAGACATGAGATGAGACACGAGATGAGACACGAGATGAGACACGAGATGAGACACGAGATGAGACACGAGATGAGACACGAGATGAGACACGAGATGAGACATGAGATGAGACACGAGATGAGACACGAGATGAGACAAGAGACATGAGATGAGACACGAGATGAGACACGAGATGAGACACGAGATGAGACATGAGACATGAGATGAGACACGAGACACGAGATGAGACACGAGATGAGACACGAGACATGAGATGAGACACGAGACATGAGATGAGACACGAGATGAGACATGAGATGAGACATGAGATGAGACACGAGATGAGACACGAGACATGAGATGAGACACGAGACATGAGATGAGACACGAGACATGAGATGAGACACGAGATGAGACATGAGACATGAGATGAGACACGAGACATGAGATGAGACATGAGATGAGACACGAGATGAGACACGAGACATGAGATGAGACATGAGATGAGACATGAGATGAGACACGAGACATGAGATGAGACACGAGATGAGACACGAGACATGAGATGAGACACGAGATGAGACACGAGACATGAGATGAGACATGAGATGAGACACGAGATGAGACACAAGATGAGACATGAGATGAGACACGAGATGAGACATGAGATGAGACATGAGACATGAGATGAGACATGAGATGAGACACGAGACATGAGATGAGACATGAGATGAGACACGAGACATGAGATGAGACACGAGACATGAGATGAGACATGAGATGAGACATGAGACATGAGACATGAGATGAGACATGAGATGAGACACGAGACATGAGATGAGACACGAGATGAGAAACGAGATGAGACACGAGATGAGACACGAGACATGAGATGAGACACAAGATGAGACACGAGACACGAGATGAGACACGAGATGAGACACGAGATGAGACACGAGATGAGACACGAGACATGAGATGAGACACGAGATGAGACACGAGACACGAGATGAGACACGAGACATGAGATGAGACACGAGACATGAGATGAGACACGAGACATGAGATGAGACACGAGACATGAGATGAGACAGGAGACATGAGATGAGACACGAGACATGAGATGAGACACGAGATGAGACACGAGATGAGACATGAGATGAGACACGAGACATGAGATGAGACACGAGATGAGACACGAGATGAGACACGAGACATGAGATGAGACACGAGATGAGACACGAGACATGAGATGAGACACGAGATGAGACATGAGACACGAGATGAGACACGAGATATGAGATGAGACATGAGATGAGACATGAGATGAGACACGAGACATGAGATGAGACACGAGATGAGACACGAGACACGAGATGAGACACGAGACATGAGATGAGACATGAGATGAGACATGAGATGAGACACGAGATGAGACACGAGACATGAGATGAGACACGAGACATGAGATGAGACACGAGATGAGACACGAGATGAGACATGAGACATGAGATGAGACATGAGATGAGACACGAGATGAGACACGAGACATGAGATGAGACACGAGATGAGACACGAGATGAGACATGAGATGAGACACGAGATGAGACACGAGACATGAGATGAGACACGAGATGAGACACAAGATGAGACACGAGACATGAGATGAGACACGAGATGAGACATGAGACACGAGATGAGACACGAGACATGAGATGAGACACGAGATGAGACACGAGACACGAGATGAGACACGAGATGAGACATGAGATGAGACATGAGATGAGACACGAGATGAGACACGAGACATGAGATGAGACATGAGATGAGACACGAGATGAGACACGAGACATGAGATGAGACACGAGACATGAGATGAGACACGAGATGAGACACGAGACACGAGATGAGACACGAGATGAGACACGAGATGAGACACGAGACATGAGATGAGACATGAGATGAGACATGAGATGAGACATGAGATGAGACACGAGATGAGACACGAGACATGAGATGAGACACGAGATGAGACACGAGATGAGACACGAGACATGAGATGAGACACGAGACATGAGATGAGACACGAGACATGAGATGAGACATGAGATGAGACATGAGACATGAGACATGAGATGAGACATGAGATGAGACACGAGACATGAGATGAGACACGAGATGAGACACGAGATGAGACACGAGATGAGACACGAGACATGAGATGAGACACAAGATGAGACACGAGACACGAGATGAGACACGAGATGAGACACGAGATGAGACACGAGATGAGACACGAGACATGAGATGAGACACGAGATGAGACACGAGACACGAGATGAG